CAATGGAGCTCCTGTGTCCCCAGAGGTAGTCAGAAATCTGCTAGTGACAGCAGCACCTCCACACCCCGCCCCCCCCCCGCAAGCCTTAGCATGGATTGGAGCTTCCCTGAGACTCCATCTCCTCCTGGATGCGCATCACCACCAGCCACTTACGCAGCTTCAACACCAGCTCCAGGCTGAGTCCCAGTGTGGCTTTCAGGAGCCATAGGAGCCTGCTTGTAGTCCAGCCCTATCTTCTGGAAGTCTCTTCCCCCTCTGGCCACTACAGGCAGGTTCCAGCTCAGCCAAAGCCTGTGCCAGAGCCGAGCTGTCACTAATTTCAGCTGTTCACTCAGACATTTCAGCCCTCAAGCAGACAGCCCTGAGCTACAGCCTCTCCCCAGCACCTGCTGTGGGGCCAGCAGGCAACCTGATGCTCTCTTGGGGAGAACATTAACAGCTTTCAGCGCCCAGGACAGCTGCCTCCAATGAGAATATAGAGGCATGGACAGACTATTGGAGAAATACAAATAAAATGATTTATTCTCACGCCTTTTTAGTGGTGTTTGCTCATGGTTTGTCTTACCCTCACCCCCCAGGCACCCATTTCAATCTCAACTGGCTTCAGAGACACCCAGACACAGTGAAGTACAGAGGCCAACTTTGCTAACAAAAAATCACCATCCCTGCCCTGCAGAACAGGGTGTTAGAAGATCAGTGCAACGCTTGAGGCAACAATTAACAGTAGTCCTTGAGAGCAGAGACATCTTCTCACCCTGGGAGAAGGAGAATTTATTGTCCACCTACTGATTGGCTGGAGAAGCAATAAAAGTACCCCAGACGCTGAGCTGGGGGCAGAGGGTCCATTCCAACAGAAGACTGAGCAGCACACCACTGAGGGTTTTGTTATGCTTTTAATTAACATTTGAAACACATAAGGCATATGGTAACATTAGACAGCAGAGCATTACACATTATAGTCATGTAAACAGCATTGGCACACTTGCTTTCTGTCCAACTTGATTACATACACAAAGCTGAATATATTTTTAAACAAAGATTTTCCATGTGTCTGTAGGATGAGTATCACTCATATCACATACCTGCAAAGCAACACGACTCAGACAGTACAGATCAGACCATATGTTGTAAGAGGCTCAGAGTCTAATGCATTTCACATCACGCTCATGTACTACTTGCCAGTCACACTTTGCTGTCACCAGGGCTTAGCACACTAGAGACTTCATTAGGCAACAAGAGTGGTTTTACACCTATGACAGCAGCTGTAAGTGGGCCAGGATCCTGCACCAATTAAAGCTTGAGGCCCACAGTGCTTCTTACTTCTCCCTGGTCAATCAATTCTGGTTTAATACAGGTGTCCAAAATGAAATGTACAGCTAGACTCCTTCCCTTGTCTCAAAGTACTCAGCAGGAGTCATGCTCCTCTGTGCAAGCTGAGGCTGCTTCCACTCCCTTCCCCTTCTGCAGTTAGCATGCAACACAAGTGAGCTTGAGAGAAAGCACAGAGTCAAAAACGTGACAAAAGCTGCCTGGTGATAGCAAAGGAGGTGCATTTTGTCCAAGGCCAGCAGTACCAGTCTGGGAAGGTGACTGCGGTAATGACACAGGAGTGGCACTCACACAGGCACCCCTGTGCTGAGCAGCCCCCCCCAGCACACCCCCACGGCAGCGGGCAGGGCTGGGGACACCTCTCCTCTGCTCATGAACTCCTTACTCACACTTTCCACTTGGACACCTCACAGCACAGCCTTTGGGTCAGACAATCAGTAAAATAAACATTAAATTGCACTTCTGATAGCTGGAATGGCACACGCAATTTAAGCACAGGAATCTCCCGTTTCCTCAACAGCACAACTTTGCCCTAAACAGTTAAGCAACATTGAGTGGAATGATTTTTATCCTAGGGTTTTTGTTTGGTTTTTTTTGCTTTGGTCCTTAGTATACAAACCTGCTGGTTAACTTTGAGTTAAGACACTTGAATTTGTTTTATATAGGTTCTATACTTATTGGCCTGTAAAATGTTTGTCCATAAGTAAAAAAATCCAACCAACCACAACCACCTAGAGCAGAGCATCGATCAGTGAGGCAGTGAAGAGCAACGTTAAATACAATCTTGGACTTGCTGTAGAAAACATTGTTGCTACCAAGGGACATAAAACAGTCAGTGCTAAACTCTAACAGATAGTAACTGCTTAGCACTCTTGCCCTGATAAGGGCTTCAGGAATTTGTAGGTAGAAGATACATGAGCAGCTACCCGAAGCTGGGAGCCGGGATTGTTTCCAGAGCCAAGGCTGGGGCAGCAGATAAAGCCTCACTCAAGGACTGGCCAGAGCCAAACAGCTGCCCTGGGGGAGACAAGGGCTCTACAACCGCTCTTACGGACTGGGGGGCACAGAAGCGCCAGGACGGCCCTGCGAAGGCTGCAATACACGGAAAGGGAGCATCTTATTCACAGTAAGACAGACTACATCACCCACCAGTGTTCACAAAACAGAGCTAGCAAGAGTCGTAACAGGTTTTTGGCAGTACTTCGAAAGGCCAGAATGGAAAAGGCTCCAGTGACTTCCTAGTCCTTACAGGCATGTAGAAGAAGGCACCGAGATACTGTTTTCTGTGGCGTACCGCAAGGCAGCATGTCAGAGGTGTCCTATAGGAAGCTGCAAGACTCCCACTTTCCTCCTTCACACTGCATCGGGAGGGAGAGACTGCGAGAGCCTTGCTACACTGCCTGGTCCACAGCCATCCAAGTAAGGCACTGAGCATGCGCTTAGCCGAGAGTAAAGCGAGGAGAGTATGTTACTGCGAAACCCAATTTGACAGTTTTCCCCTTTACAAGTGTGCAGAACCTGAAGATATGCAGGGTTGTGTGCCATTTGAGCACGATGCTCTTTCATCAACGTGAAATCCAGTTTCTCGGAGGAACAGGTCCAGACTTCCCATTTCAGCAATTTAGACAGTCCTTCTGTTGTCAGACCTGGTAAAGCAGCATTAGACACTTGTTGGATTTAATCTAAATTAGCATGACAGGGCAGGCTGAAAGGAGAAGCAGCAAGATTTGATTCAGAAAGGTTAACAGTTGTGCTTGTGAGTTTCATCAGACCATGTTTATGAAGTTCACGTATCAAGTGTGAGAGATGGACTGACAAGGATCTGTCAGAAGGCTCCAGCCCTCCTCTGATGTCATAGGGAATGGGGTTGTTTTAATACTTAAAGTTAGCCAGGCCAAGTCCCATAGAGGCTGTGCCTGCACATCTAAAAGGTGGCAGAACTAGGGACTGAAGCACTTGAAATACAAGCTGCACTGATAGATAGGAGCCCGGGTGGAAGGTAGTGCTGGCCAGGGAAGAAGCCACACTCCTCACCTGCACAGGAACGCCCGGCCCTGTGCAGCGCCTGAGCTGCCGCTGAGCAGCAGAGGGGCTTCGCCCAGCAGGCGCCTTCCCTCCTTGGGGTTTGGTTAAGCAGGACTCCTAGTACCAAGGTTTTGCTCCTGGAGCCTGAGCTCTTCCATGATGGGCAGCTCTTCTTGGCACTCTCAGGTTTACCTTTTCAAATCCAAAATGAAGCCTAAAAGCCCACAGCACCTACAATTCATGACAAAGCCTCAAAGCAAGCACAAACAGCACCACAGTCACTCAGGGCTGAAAACAGGGTCTAGAAGGAAGGGAGGGCACCACCCAGAACATGAAGTGCCCACAGAACTAGGCTCGGGTCTCTGCACAGCTACGTTTCCAAATGCACATCAGAAAGAAAAGAGGAAGAGAAACTGAGTTCTGGTCTGGGAGGAGCATCCCAAGCAGTTCCTAAACTCTCGTGCTGGAAGAGAGCCCAAGGGTCCCAAGACTTACAGTTTCAGGGGAAGAACAGTAAAGCCCTACTGCACCACTGAACCACGAGGGGAGAGCTGGTTTCAGTGGGTATCTAACGAGCTAGCTAGAAGAGAATGGAAAGCACAGTTTAAACTGTTCAAGATGCCCAGGCCAAGAGGCTTGACACGGAGCTGGGCAGTTTACTGTCTACACTGGTAACTTGGCGATAGCTTTACTGAGTGGCATGCCACAGAAAGAGCCAGCCCAGGCACCTGGGAAGCAGGCTCATGGGACTGGTTCTTGCAAGTTACTTGCCAAACTGCAACACCTCCCCAGCACACAGGGCACAGCACAAAGCAAGCATTAACAGGGGCTTATTTTGTTCCCATCTTGCTGAAGTCCAGTTCAACACTGCAGCCCTTAGAAAAACAAACACGAGGGTGAAGTTTAGCCTTAACAATACCAACTTGGAGCCCATCATTAATAAAGCACAGAGCCAACATCAATTGTTCCAGTCATTTGAGACACAGTTGAGTCCTTAAGGTCTCTAAAAATCAGACACAGTTTAGATCTCCCTATACAGTTTGGAATCAGAAAATGGACAAGATCAAGTTACCTAATTGAAACTTTTCTTCTGTATTCAGACACAGGCCAGACCAGCCTGTTAGGTTATTTGCCGACTGCACAGAGAACTGACTGCAAATTAAGTGTAATATGCCATAGACTCCAAAATACCAGGATGGTTATTTACAAGGCAAAGACAACATGACCTGTTACTATCTGACTGGTGTTAGAGGCATATGAAAGCAGAGGGGAAAGAGCATGGTTAGTGTGAACAGAAGAGCAGCCCATGCTAGTATTAAACTAGGCTAGCTATGCTTTTCCTCCGGCGGGTGAGGGAACATCCTAA